CCCAAAACCAAACAAAACTATGCCTCCTCCAAGCAAGCATTAAAAGAGGTTTTTGCATGTTTGCATTTTTTTTTAATGCATAACTTCTTTTCCTTTTTTTTTTTTTTTTGTTCCCAAAATAGCATGGGTAATATGGTTATTGCAATGTTTCTAGCCCAGCCTAAGGCATAAGCGTGAAATCTTACAGGAAAGCTTTCCACTGTAAAATGCCTAACTCTCTTTTCAACCTTAAGTACTTCAGACAAAGAAAGATTTTCCAATGCAAACACATCAAATACTCATGCTTTCTTCATAGACTTTATGAAAAGTCATCTTTTACAACAACAACAAAGGATAACTCATACTGTCAAAAGTTTTCTCTACACTGAAATGGGAAAAAAGAGCCAAGTTAGTACTTCCTTCTCATTGTGCATGCCTGGTAGTGTCTAGAAGAAGGGTCAGCAGCCTGTGGCACATGCAGAGATTCAGTATTTAGCATACCACAAACAGGGCCAGGAACCAGGAGCAGGTGGAATCTGAGAGAGACAACAGCTTTCAGGTCTTCACTCCTACTGTCCAGCAGCTATCCCAATGATCAGCTAATAAGCAGCGTCTCGCCCCTTTGCATACCCAAGCACAGGTTCTGTGCGCTGGCTTTGGCACAGTGAACACAGTGATCTGCTGCTGTAGTGCTGACTGCTCAATATATGTTGCAGCCACTGAACTGTGGCATTTTCCATGGTTTTGCTCCCCTGCTCTGCCAAAGTAGAGCCAATGGCTGAGACATCTCTTCCTTTAGTTGTTCTTGAGCTGTAACTTGCCTTACATTCCCTTCAACTTGTACAATACAAGTAAACCAGATCACTGATCATACTGGCTCCTCGAGGCCCCTGCTAGTCCTAGGTAAGGATTCAGTTAGGGTTCAAGCTTACATTTAATATGTAATTCAGTAATTCAGATGTAATCCGAAGAACAACACTTTCTAAGTCCTTCTGAAATAATACTGGGACTGGTGACCTCAAATTTGACAAAAACCAAATTTGGCACGCTATCACTGACAGTCTGGCCTTAGTCTAAAACACATGATTGATGCTTTACAGTGTAATCTGCATATTGTCAATCATTATTCTGGTAGGCTCAGTGCTGACTAACTAAATACAAGTAGCTAGACAATACTTTGATGAGATGATTCAAAGAAGTTGATTAGTCTAATGAGCATACAGACCCAAGTAAATTTAGCAATGCATTTTTTAAAAAATAAGACAGACTGTAGGAGCCAAGGAGAGGTTTAAAGAATCAGTTACATTCATATGGTAAAATCTGTGCAGATACCAGTTTAAAGGTTTTAATTTCACTTTTAAATATTTTTATGTGAGGAACAGCAACGTTGCCACTATACCAGGCACACATTACACTGGATGCTGTTCAAAAATACTTGGATTTCCTTTGTTCCTACTTCTTCCCCATGACCCACTCAAACATACAGAGATATAGAGTCAAATTTTGTCTGGGTCTTAGACAGACAAGAAGAGTTCTATTTAGTTGGCACACCTCTGCAGGGTGTGGTCATCACTTGATCACAGGGTGTCAGCAGCCAAAGGATATTTGGTTAGCAACCCTCAGTGTCAGACAAGGGTGGACTGCATCTTCAAACTCTCCCTCCTGCTAACTCTCAGAGTAGTACTGTGTAGGGGTTAGGGAGCTATGACTCTTCAAAGGGATGGCAACATCAACCTACCAGCACTGTATTAGTTATAACTTTAAATGAAATTACTCTGACCAGTACAATCAGGTGAGTAAGCAGGCAATCAATTAGGCCATTCCACAGCCTCAAAACTTTCTTTTTGAAAAAAACCCCCAGTGTTTTCATACACCTGCCAAGAAAGAACTCTATACAGCAAATACTGGACTACGTAGTTACATTGCTTTAGCATTTATCCTGCATTCTTCTGTAAAAAACCCTTCAGCTATTCATATTTAAACTCTTTTTTTTTTTTTTTTTAGCTACTGCGACTACTTTAAGCTTACTGAACTAGTAAAAAGAGAGGTTATTCCATGATAATGAAGGAAGATAAAGGAATAATTAGAAACAACTCAATTTTTAAGTCAGAAACATTTATATTATTTGCATCAAAAAAGACCAAATATAAATGCAGTCAAGTATTGCCAATATTTCTGACTGGTTTGGGGATAATGCTGTACCTAGGGCAAAATAACCGTCGGCTATTTTTCTGAAAAGCTTCAAGGATTAATGCTATCTCTCTCTGTTTAAATACTTGGGAGGTATTCAAATATAACAACAATGAGATTAAGTTGGACAGAAGAAACCTATATTTTCTTTGCACACAGTATAATATCAGTAATAGCCCATTTAAAAAAAAAATAAAAAAGAAAAAAGACAACTGCTGTATGATTTGAAGTTCAAAGTGCTCCACTAGCAAATTAAAACAGAGAGGACACAGTATACGTAAAGGTGAATGGTCTGTACAATGTAACGCTGCTAAATGTCACTATTTTCTAACCTAGCAGTAAAGAAAATAATTGTGCTTTGATATCAGCCTCCACATTGTGATAGATGGCACCAATTCTGTTCAAGCAAACAATTTATGTCCAGCATTATAGTGTCCTTTAAGTACAAGCTATCAAAATAAAGAAAATATTAGCATATTCTACCAATAAATATGGGAAGTGAATAAATACCTAGCTTTCTCTGTGCACTACAGTAACAACCGTAAAACTAAAATTAGGAGCAGCAGTTCTAAGCTATATTCACAATTAAGACATCACCACTCCACGATACAAAAATATCAGGTGAGAAAAATTAAATAACAAATAAGGAAATGATTTACTAACAGTGAGGTTTTGTTTTCCACTTAGAACTTCAGGTTCAAAACCAATCCCTTCATGAAGCTTAAATTAAGCCAAAACCTTTGAAGTCATGAAGATTTTTTTTCTGAATTTATACATGCTATCTCCTCTTTAACACAATGGCTAGCTCAGGACAGCATACCTGAGAGAGATAAACTTTCAGCTAGTCCAGTGTTAGTGACATCAGCAACACTGTAAAACTCTCACAGCCCCAACTGTTACTCTCAGCCTTTTAAGCTTGAACTGTGGTCCCTGAAGAGCAAATGCAGGTCAGCTGCTGTTGGGCCTGCTACATCATGGTAAATTCCAGCTGAGGTGAACTGCTGAACACTTCTTAAATGGTGTCAACTAGAGTTGTCAGGAGATCATAAACCAGAGCCCCAAGCAATTTGATTAGAATCAGGGAGTAACTGGATTAGCAGAACTACTGAATTAGTATTTGATGAGCTGTATAATTCATATGTTATCTTCACAGCACTACTAGCTCTAACACCTGCAACATGAATTAGCATCCACCCCTTCATGTGCCAGGTGACTCAAGCCTCACTTAATATAAATAAGAGATTTGTGCAATAGGAGATTTGTGCAATAAGAGGTTTGTTTGCATTGAAACTGGTGAAAAAAAAAAATCAAAACTGACTATACCTTGATCTAGCGATTCAGTGAAGATGCTTGCCAACTCCATTGGCACAGTGTCATTATTTTCTCATCTTCCATTTTAACAGGCAAAGCTGGGATATACTTTCTCCTAGAGGCAAGATACAATCAGTCAGACAACTGATGGTATCTTGTCTATGAGAGGTGAAAGACTTTTAGAGCCCAGCACAAAAAGATTGCTGGGTTTGGTGAGGGACAGGGCCCCTGCCTTTCGTCGGGCAGAAACCACACAGTCAGCAGCATCTTGACTCTCTGGGAGTGCATTTGCCAGTGCTGTTGTCACAGATCAGTTTGTAACACTGAAAAAAATCATGCACTGGAGGAAGGCAAAATGCTCTCCTCAAGCAGCTGCAGGAAGTAGGCCCATCAAGATAAGCCATATCTACTACTTTTTGAACATCAAAGAGTTGGCAGCATGTTTCTGTAGGGCAGTCTGAGCGCAAAACTTCTCTCGTACTCCTGCAAGCTACAGGGGTGCCCATTCAGGTTTCAGTCATACTCCAAACAAATCTGAAGATTCCTTCCAATCATGGGCTGGCTAGACTTCCTGCCTAGAATTACAGTGAGTTAAATAAACACACCCAACTTTTGGCTTTCATAGTAAATAAAAAAAAATGTTCATTTAAACTGTTTATCTTAGAAGTGCTGGAAGGTTATTTTTGTTGTTCCTTTTATAAATGAAGTTGTCTGTTTCTCAATTTCAGTCAGAAAGCTTAGGTTCCAAACTCACAAGCTTTATGGTAGATTTTCTTATTTGTAATGATCAAAATGCAACTTGAAACAAAACAAATATAGTGAAATCAGCTCAGCCATGAAATGGGATTGCAGTTAGAGCTTTATCTGCCTTCATCCCTAAAATTATTCCAAAGGAGGAAGACAGAGTAAGTTACGTTACTATTTATAGTAAAAGGAAATGATAAATATGAGCGCTTAGTAAATAGAAGGCAAAGAGAAAATACAGTAATTTGGAGTTATGTCTCCACTAATACCTAGTAATTCACAGGTGGCATGTTACATCTGTGTGCTGTATTTTATTTGACATGTTCACAATCCTTTTTAAGTCAGTCACAAATCCAAACACAGTTAGCAGACAGGGTATTTAATAAAATCAGATTTATAAAACTATTACTGTGTGAAAGAGCATTTCACCTATTAGATTTTTTTAATACAAAACCAGCTACTCAAATCAATAGAGAAAGAAAAACAGTAAATAATGAAACTATGAAAAATAATTGAGATGTTATCAAAGCTATAAATACATCCAACATTTCTGATGGTATCATAATGCACTTTACACGTTTTCTCTTCACAAAACCTCTCCCAATAGCTGCAGTTACTAATCATATATTCTATAAATACAGCTTAGTTGACTAAGGCTGAAATGTGCTAAGATGCAGTAACGTTTCAAATTCATACATGAAACAATTTGGAAGCTTCCCCCAGGCATTTGCGACTGCGACTCCCGCTGCTGTGCTACCCACAATCCCCCCATTTACCTGCTCGCTGGGCTGCCTCAGCCCTGGTCAGGAAGTGGCAAAGCTGATGCAGCTTATCAGGCTGCTCCTCCAGGGACTTCTGCTGCCATATGGCTGACCCAGGCCCTGCAGCCTCCCTCAAGGCATTCCACTTCTGTATCAGAGCGAAGAGCTCGGAGAAGGACTCGTGATAACCCTGTCGCAGCATGTCTATGCAGATGTTCTTCTTGTACGAATTCCTGTTACTGGGAATAAGAAAGAGAGATTTTAAGCCTTTAAACCTGTATTCTGTTCGCCACCTTACCAAATAAGTACAGATAACTAAAACGGCTTTAAGAAGAGACTGCTGCAGTTCAGCAGCCAGGATGGGATTCCCCCCCCCCCCCGCGTAAAAAGCATTCTGCTGCTAAAATAAAATTATGAATGTCATACCCATGGGAAGTAAATATGGCAACAGTGAGTAAATACCAATAGATACATTGAAAATGTGTTAAATATATACTGGTATTCTTTTGCTGCCATTGGTAAAACAGGCTGACTGATGGGAAAACACACACCACACCCCCCCCATGTTTACATTAGTTCATGAAAACACAATGAACTCTTAGTTTGCTTTAAAACAGTGCACAGGGAAAAATGAGGCACATTCCACATGTCAAAACAATGTATATGTTAAATAGTTTTGCTGTAGGATATGATGGCTTGGTTTAAAACGTCAAACAAATGCTATGCCAGAAACATAATCATTAGATATTATTTTGCTTCTGTTTAGCATATAACTTCAGCTGGGACTGGTTTACTGATGAAAATGTTTGATAGTTTCTCCTTAATTTTCAAATCAAATGATGCAGTGATGAATTTATATCAAAGTTATCTCATTCATAGACTCCTGTAAGATATACTTATCAAAAAGATGCGTAATCAAATAGTATCAAGAGGTAATATATCTTTTGAGGTATTATTTATGGAAAAAATAAAAATATTTCTTTTATGTGGCATGAAACAATCATTGCATCCTATCCTGGAAAAAAACTATGATTCCAATGGGACTGCCTGCAACACTCAAGTACATATGTAAAGGTTTGCAGGCATAGGTATCTAGTGTGAGAAAACAAACCTTTGTCCCAGTAAAATGGCAAGGACACAGATGTGTTAATTTGATTTTGTATATCTCATTAAGTTTCCAAACTGCTTTCAAGACTGTCTTTTTAGATTAAAATCCATTTAACTTCAAATTCTCAGCAGCTTTAGAATATGGAATTCTGAAAACTGATATTTACAGTATATGTAATAAATTCAGATGACCTCATTCTAAACAATAGCTTAATGAGACTAATACTTCAGCCTAAAAAAAGCTACCGCAGTTCTTTAAGAATGCCGATAAGATGGAAGTGATGCAAAAAACTTCTTAGCTAGATGACAATGAAATAAACAGTAACATGAGATGTAAGAAGTAATCTGCACTACTTCATATTTGATTAAAATAAAATCTATTAATTACTACACAGATGTACATTAATCTTTCATATGTATTTTTTACATTTCAGCTGCAAAACTGAGCAGAAAAATATTACAAAATCCTGACATGATTTAGACTAGACAGTACTGAATTTATGTTTAATATATAAATGGGTGGCTTTTGAGATTGAAAAGCACACATTGTTCACACAGACAAGGGAAAATATATGCTATTCTGTACCAGACAACATTCACAACATTTATCTTTAAAAAGTAAATGAGAAATATCTTTAAACATTTTAATTTTAATTTGCCAGAATATGTGATATTTGTCATATATCAGATGTACAATATATAGATTAATAATACTATAAAAATATTATGTTAATACAGTACAATGTATATGGAATGTTTTCTTTTTTCTGTTTTAAACTTCTCTCTAACTAAAAGGAAATTGAAGAGTATAGGTAGAAAAATTCCTACCAACTTCCAAAGGGCCTAGGACTGAATCCTGCAGTAATACAGCTCAGAGCGGTGGAATAACAATCTGTATAGCAGACACAAATACATGCATATTTATTTATATAATGTGATCTATATATGTGTACATGTGTGCATGCATTAGATCATTAGATGTGTTGGAAGTAGACGAGAAAGTACTGCTAAAAGATCTTAACGGTGACTAAACGAAACATCATTCAATTAATTTTTAACACCCACTGCATATGCATTGAACACAGCACCAATGTTTGTATAGATAGAAAAACTGTGTCCATATAACATGTTATTTCCTGTAGACTGATGCTTTTTACTTGAAGTCAAAGCATGTTTTCCCCACAAAACAGCATTATTAGCAAACCAATAGAGGAAAACAAAACATATGGTAAAATAAGTCAGTTTGAAAAATGAGTGTCAATATTCTTTTAATAAATCCTGTCCAAATTAATAAAGAAATTGAAATAATGCTGAAGTAAACATATGGTACAAGAGCACATTTTTTTTTCTTAGGCAATAATACCTGATTTTAACTCACAAGCAATGAAGATATCTACAGTATAACCATTCAGATTTTAGAGGCATAAAAAGTTATCTCTCAGTTATAATTAAAACCACAAAATACACAAAGTGTAAAATAATAATACTATTGTTTCCTTAAGTTTCTGCAATATTTAAGCCACAAGTGACTGATCACACACAAACAATAAAATAGGGCTAGAAATTAATTATATTATGGGGATGAATGGTATTCGTCACACTTGAGAGCTTGATGAATTCTGAGATAAATTCTGAAATTGTCAGTTATCAGAGTGTTTCCAGATGAAAATGCCGGTGTCCTTTTTTCCCAATAAAAATCAGAGTAGTGTGTGTGACAGAAGTAAACTTTTCATATCTTGAGATAAACTAAAATCCTCGAGATCCTTGTCATACTGTGTTTTATGATGGCCTGCAGCATGTAAGATGAGAGGTTAAATGGAACGCCTCATGTTTCACATAACCGAAGATTATTTCTAATATCAAAAACTGACACCTAATTAAATGTACATGACTTGTTTTATAAAATCCAACTGCTAACGGTATGTTTCTACTACATTAAAAAAAACTAGTTTACATTAAACCTTTTGAGACTTGCTACCTAATAAATGATGATATATTATTAAACAAGCAAGTTTCTTTTTCTGCACTGCGTCCACGCCGATTTTAGGTCTCCTTTGAACCATTCCGTTACTCCGAGAAGCCGAATGAAGAAAGACCGGCCTTTCATTTGGTTGGAGACGTTCAAGAGGTTTAATGGTCTCTGGGGGCATCTACTGGAAATGTGGAAAACTGCAGCCAGGACATGTTAATCACGCAGCTGTCAGTGCAGAACAAAGGGACCCGCACGGATTAAATGCCGGGCGCGCAGCACCGCGGGCAAGCGCGGAGGAGAAGCTCGGGGTCGCGCTTCTTGCGCGGCCGCTGAACTCGCCTTACGCGGCGCCACCAAAGCCCAGCGCCAGAAACAGGCAAAGGCTGCCTGCAGGCAGTTAAACTACTCGAGTTAGAATGAGCAGGCGGCTGTGAAACGTTGGTTGTGTTTAATTTTAAAATTGAACCGTGCTATGAATATAAACCTAAAGTCCTCGTTCCCCTCTGGACGATCATAGGTGCATGCCAGGAGAAAAAGCTTCCAGATGGATTTTTTAAAATTAAATTATTTCTTAATGAAATCTGGAGGATACCTACGTATTTTTGGTTAAAACAAAGATAACAGTTAATCTGTTTTTAATTTAAAGCAGATTATTATTATTTTTATTTTTATTTTTTTTAAGCCAGGAAATTCAACAGCCAAAAATCATAATACTTAACACAGAGACGATGCTGAGAGTCCAATCTTCCTCTGACTGTACACTCGGCACTGAAACCCTGTTGATGTTGCACCATGTTTATTTTCAGGGGACAGGTGAAACAGTGACATGAGGTCCCCTTAGTGGATCCGGTCAGGGTATCATACATTTGTCCTACGTCAGCAGTCAGGTCCATGCAGAACTTTATGCATGAGGTGCTGGAAATTCTGCGTGATTCTCTGTGTGTGTCATGGGGGTGGGGGTGTCATGAGAATTTTTAGCACCAAATAAATAACCACCAAAAGTTAAAGTTGCCATTTCAGTGGTACCATGTTCTAGATGACGATCTCATGCAGTATAATATCACATGGGTGGAAGCAGCTTTTTACTGAATGGGGATCTGCAAGCTTGAAAAGGCACTGCTATTGTTAACACCGTGCTTTAAGCGTACCTGCATATTGCTACAGGCATTTTACTTTCCTTAAACTATACAGATACTTATATATTTTTCTTACATGGATTTCTTTTATTATCATTGTTATTCTAAAACAATCAAGAGCCATGCTGAGGAATCACAGAAACATGACTCTAATCTGCCTTTACCAGTGCAAACCCCATAAATACTAACTTTCAGTGCAGCTAATTAAATTACAATTTTTGTGCAATCTCAAGGACCTTCCTATGTTAGGGTACTGTACAAGACTCTTAGGCAATGGTGGGAGATCAGGACAGTACCATACTACATTCCCTTCAATTTATAATCCTGCACAACAAGGCTATTTGCATTCTACCCTTTACACTAAAAGAGAGAAACGAAAAAATAAAATTAAGAGGCCAAGAGTCAGACAGTGGTGTAAAAAATTACCAAAATTGTCAGTATAGCATAACAATTATTTATCATGAGCTTAATTCTCCATGCCTCCTGTCTGGTATGGTCAATTACAGACATGCAAAATAAGTGCAAAAGTCTACTATTTTCAGCTGACAGATTTTTTTTTTTTTTTTTTTTTTTTTTTTTTTTTTTTTTTTAGTATCAGGGTTCATATCTTTAGATTTTGTAGGATTTAATTAGTACTATAGGTTAATGCCAGCTGCTGATTACAGTACGTGTGCTGTAGCAATCCCATTTTGTAAGGCACAAAAAGGCATGGATTAAACAACGATAGTGTATAAAATATTAAAGCGTACTTCCAGTGTAAAATAATTACTCTCACAATTATTATAATGTTTAAAAACTGTATTCAAATAGGTTTCATCCACTTGGGATTTCCTTCTGCAGTTGGCAAGTCAATGACTGATATAAATGCTTTAGATAAGGATCACAAAATTATGAAAAAATAATAAAGATATTTTTGCTTAAGTTTATTTAAACAAATACATTTTACTTCTTCCCCCACATTTCCTGTCTATAAATCTACAAGAAAATGAAAATTACATCAAGTGTGTGAATACTTAGCTACTTT